ACAAAGGAAGTCCTTCATGAAGTGAAGCATTCAAGCACTTATCTTATTCATTACAGCTACACTGAATGAGCCCTTTTGAAATTAGTTCTGCAAAATTAAAAGGGAGAAACTTTGAAACCTGTGACTTATTGCATGATGGTTCAATGCTGTTAGCAGCTGCAGCAAGATCCTTTGGTCTTGAGAGTGCACGGTCACCCACATAACTACAGTAACTGTCGTAAGCCAGTTGAGCTGAACCAAACCCCTTGAAGGATCATTGATGCTGACAAGAGTTGGGTCAACACCTTTGACCCGGAGACCAAACAGCAGTCCTGAGTTGAAGGAGAAGGTGGCACATCAGGTCAGAAGCACACCAGTAGACTTTTCAGTCAGTGCTCCAAAATGGCCTCATTCAAAAGGACATTCAAGTGTCAGTGCCCTCCAGTGACCATACTGTTTGTTTTCTGTCTCCAACCAACAGAAAGTGCATCGAGATGTATAGTTGGCTACTCAAGCTTTTAGGAATTCAATAACCTGGACGACTAAAAATCTACATAGCCACATCACTTGTGTTTACACTTTGTTTTGCAGCACCTTGTGCTGTCCCAAAGGGCAAAAATACTTGAAGAGGCTTGTGACTACCTTAACAAACAATTACAAATGTCTTAAAAATGCCCTGGAGATGTATAAGGTTATTTTACACAAAAAATTTGCCAAAAAAAATGAGGCAGGAAGAAGAAAGCAAATATAGGATGAAGGTCCAGTGTTCAGGACCAGAGCAAACATTTCTGAGCAAAACAGTGCCAATTAGAGCTTGGTTCATTCTATGGCTCACTGCTGCTACTACGACTATGCAAGCTGCTATTGTTTGTGCGGTTGCGTGTTTTTGTGGATGGATGGATGGATGGATGGATGGATGGAACTAACCATTATTTTCATTGTTGATCAGTCTGTTGATCATTTTCTCGATTAATCATTTAGTTGTTTGCTCTATAAAATGGCATAAAGCAGTAAAAAATGTTGACCAGTGCTCCCAGAAACCCAAGATTATGTCCTCAAATGTCTTGTTTTGTTCACAGCTAAAAGATACTCAGTTTACTGTCATAGAGGAGTAAAGAAACCAGAAAATATTCATAAGCTGGTATCAAAGAATTTTATATTTATTTTCTTTAAAAATTACTCAAACCAATAACTCAATTATCAAACTAGTTGGCGATTTATTAACCAGCTGACAGCTCTACCAGAGTTTGATTTAACTGGGCTGAAAAGAGCAGCTGTGAAAACATGTTCAAATATTTGTCAGGCCTATGAAACTTATGTTCCTCAATACAGTCCAAAGTCTACATTTCTTCTGAAATAGGCCAGTCGCACAGTACACCGTGACGACCTGTGAGCAGTCTGGCAGGCCCGACCCACTCAGTAAAGTTTTGCAGAGGAGCAAAATATTTGAATGGTGCCTGTCAGCCAGCCTCAGGACTGTCAGAACATGCCAGCAGCCGGACAGGAAGCAAAGAAACACAAGGTCAGCCTGTCAGGCACATACATACGACTGCACTCTCAGAACACAAGCTATTCCTGATTGCCTTGTAGGCTACTTCACAGTGCCAGGTGCCTGGCAAGAAGCAAGGCATTAAGCTCAGAAAGAAGCAATTGGCAGCCTGGTAGGAGGCCAGTGCCTGACAGGCTGGGAACAAAGGTCTCCTGGGCTCTCACAGCTCTCTTCTATACTGATCTGCTGTTTTCTTTAATTCTGTTCCAACTGCTCTCTTCAAACCTGGTCTGCTGCACATCACTGTGCTCTTTTCAATTCTCAGTCTGAGGTCAGAACACAAGTCTGGGGCTGCGTCTCAAATCCCTTCCTACTTACTATTTAGTGCACCTCATTACTGCCTCAGTGAGAAAATGTAACCTGTACGCCTTCAAGAAAGTGACAAAAGACAAAAAGAAAGTCCTTGTGACATGCACATTTTTTCTACTAACAATTATCAATGCATTAAGTACCATTTATTAGATGTGAAAAATGCAGTTAAGTAAATGTATCTTTATAAAGTTTTAGGGGTAATGATATCCACACATTCAGCAAACACAGACCAACACGACAGGGAGTTTTTGATGATGCAATGGAGGCTTTGAGACTGAACCAAAACAGTAAAATTGAGAGCCATGACACATAAAAATACTTGAGCATGCAGCATTAAAGTGTACTTCTTTAATGAGTTTAAGTGACTAAATGTCAAGTGAACCATCTTACAAATAACTCTGATGTCAAAAGGTTGAAAAAAAATTACCTGTCAAATCTGATATCACTGGATGTGGAACCTTAAATTCAGTGATGTGAACAATTTTATGACTCAATATTCATGAACGGGCTGCAGGGTGGCTTGGTGGTTAGCACCGTTGCCTTGCAGGAAGAAGATCCCTGGTTCGCGTCCCGCTTACGATGCCTGGGATCTCTCTGCGTGGAATTTGCATGTTCTCCCCATGCAGCGTGGGTTCTCTCCGGGTTCTCCGGCTTCCTCCCACAGTCCAAAAACATGTTGAGGTTAATTGGTGATTTTAAATTGTCTGTAGGTGTAAATGTGTGCTTGGTTGTCTGTCTCTAAGTGTAGCCCTACGATAGAATGGCGACCTGTCCAGGGTGTCCCATGCCTTCGTCCTGAGTCAGCTGTCATAGACTCCAGCCCACTACCACCCTAGTGAGGACTAAGCGGTGTATAGATAATGGATGGATATTCATGAATAAAAAAAAAATATTACAAAGATGTTTTTATTTTATAGTCATCATGATAATAAAAATTTGTGGTCTGGAGAGAGCCTCGCAACTTTAGGTCATATTGGCTGTAAAAACCAGCTCTGGAAATACGTACAGTATCACTTAAGTGTTTTCTGTGTACTGTGCAAAGTGTATTTGTAACATCTGAAATTGCCAACAATAACACATCAGTGGTGGACTGGATCTAGGTGATGAAGCAGTTAGACAGCGTCCAACTGCATCAGCTCTGGAGGCCACAGCACACACACACACACACATCCACACACACAACCTGTGTTGGTGTGGAGCTCTGTCTAAAAACAAAGTAGAGGCAAACTGAAAGGATAAAGCAAATGTATATGCATTTCCTATTAAAAATAATTCAGTCAGTCAATGGTGCAGCACTTACATCCATAAACATCTGTGGTGAGGAGCCTCCCACACAGAGCAAACCTTCTTACTAGAGAGGAGGACAGACAGGAAAGTGCAGCAACAGATCTCTCAGGCCAGTCTCCTGTCTTCATTGTCATTTTAGCACTATGAGTAACACTAAACCTGGAGACAAATATCAGTTTTTAACAATTTTAAAGTTTATTGACTTTTGTGGAAATCCCTTTTGGACATATGGAACTACAAACTGAGTCCACAATATAGTAAATGGAGCTTGCACAACAAAATAAGCAGATAAACTGGACCTGCAGTCATCGAGCACACAGCAGGTACATGCGCCGGCTGTCATATCTATCACATCTACATACCGTGTGTGTGTGTGTGTGTGTGTGTGTGTGTGTGTGGGTGTGTGTGTGTGTGTGAGCCTGTGTGTGTTTGATGTGTGGGTGTGTGTCTCTCTGTGTGTGGGGTGATAGGAGAACAGCTCTCATAACCCTGTGGCTATCGCTGTAATGCATGGTGGGTAAATCCATCAGCAGGTATAGTTACCAATGGCAACAGAGGGACAGTCCGGATAAAAAATCACTGCTGCTTGTCCTGCTCTCACACTCAGAATGTGTCTTTCTCAGAAGTGAATTTATGCTGTGTTTTTCATCATTATATGGAAAACAAGTTCTCCAACAGGGCAAAGTGTCTATTTTTTTCAGTTTGACTGTAGATTACCATTTAGGTAAAAGCAGTTTGCTTAAATCACCATGATTGAAATATTTTCCCCACTAAATTTTACAAAGTTAAAAACTGTATTTGAAAGTTATCTTTAATAAATATCAAAATAAAACCATTAATCGGCCAGAAACTGTAAAAAATAAAATAAAATTAATTTTTGTTAGAAAAACAGCTAGAAATTTTGCATTTTAAACTTTCCAATGGCCCTTGAAGTACTCAACTGTGATGTGAAAATAACCAGAAAAAAAAAACAGCCAAAATTAAAAACTGCTCTCCAAATCCAAAGCATTTAACGACTCAGCTTCTACCAACAGTCCTCTAACAAGCATCTGCTGACATTTTACTTGAACTGCAGGCTGTGCTCACATACAGTAGATAAGAGACAAGTATGGGAACAAATTTAAATTGTAAGTTGTAAAATATTTTTAGTGTTTCCACAGTATTGGTAACATCTCTTAGATCTGGGAAAATGTTGTACATGTTGATTCCTTTTTCCCTTAATTTGTAAAATAAATACTCAAGGAAATGTATGATTTATGGCATTATATCTGTGATATGCTACACAAAAGATGATTTTATTTTTTTTCTTATTCTTGCTCTTGTTGCAATGTTTTCACAAAAGTGTTGGATTTAATATTGTCGTGGAAAATGTGTGACAGGAACAAAAAAAGCTCAGAAACTGTTTGATGTTCAGAGGGTTAAAAAGCTGCAACAAAAATGCTTTTAAATTATCTTTTTCAAAAGATGCAGGCTTGTCAGACCACACTTTAAAATGACTATACCTGTGTTTAACTCATTTACAACAAACACACTCATCAGTCCTCCACAATGTAATTAAGATCCAGTTTTCCTCGTTTCTGATACTGCCACTGATGACAATATTTATGATGTTATGAAAAAGTCTGATGTAGAATAGCAGAGTAGTGAATAATAAAGTAATGGTAGTAAAGTAGTTAGTACACCGTAAATTATCACAAGTAGTCACCCATACAAGTAAATACTTTGCATATGACGAATACGTCATCCTTCAAATGGGTAGGGGGAAACCAGATAAAATGGACACTATCATTATAAGTTTATCTGCACGGCAGCCGGCGTTACTCGGCAGCCGTGAAGCTGCTGTGGATGATAAACGATCACATGTTCCTGTTACCTGTGCAGGCACAGCGGCCGGGGACCGGACACCGGGCTGTGTGTTGTGGGACTCCGTAGCTCTCGCAGGCACCGACTCTCTCTCGCTCCGCTCCGCAGGCGACTCTGCGCGTTTCCCGGGACGCAAGCACAGCTTCTTGGCAGCGGGAGCTCCGTAGTCCTCCTCGGCGCTGACTTTCCTCGCTGCAGCTGTCGGTGTCGTTGCTGCCGCCGCGTCCGTCGGTGTCCCCCTCGGACTCACATCCGCAACATCGGTGACCCGGCGCAGGTACGGGACCACGAGCTGGAGGTGGGACTGCGCGTGACCGTTGACCGTTTCCGAGGCAACGTAAAGCGTGGTAGTCGGCCTGAAGCCCGCAGCCCCCACGATGCTGTTGAGCGTTGCTATGGAGACAGCGCCGATGCAGTGGTTGGTGTAGGTCTTGGAGAGCTTGGCAGCGCGCGACAACATCTGCATCCTCGTGCCCAACAGGTTCTTTCCGATGGCTTTGTTCTCGTACCATGTCACGTCGCTCGCGCAGCAGTGGTCCCGGGGCCGCTGGAAGAACGCCCTGCACAGCGGATTCCGTTTGGACACGTACCGGACGAAGCTTGCGTACGGACACTGCTCCGTGCCCGTCTCGTACATCCGCGGCAAGGTGTCCTCGTCTGCGTCCGGACGCTTCTTGGTCCAGGTAGCGGAGCGGGACTTGTGGTACGGTCCCAGAGCCTTAAAATACACAAACTTTCTTCCGTCCTCGTCCACGGCCAGGCCGAACGAGTCCTCCTCCAGCTCCCGCTGGTTCTCCCTGCCCCTGGTGCAGAAATACATACAGGTCTCGAACCAGACTTTGTTGAGCAGCCCGAACGGGGTGTCGATGTTGAACACGGAGGACTCGTACAGTTTCCGCAGGTCTGAGCGCGTGATGGCTTGTTTCTGCACTACGGGACCGGCGCCCTGCTCCTCCAGCCTCCGGATGACCGCGGCCAGGGTCAGGTTGGCGCTGCGCAGCTCTGGGTCCTTGGTGAGATCCAAGGTGCGGCAGTAGGGCGGCTCGTTTAGGTACCGGTTCAGGGAGCTCCGGATGCTGATGAGGGAAGACTTGCTGTACAACTGTCCACTTTTGGAGCGCGCCTCCGCGTAAAAGGAGCGCAGCACCGCGCAGAGCGCATCCTTGTCCAGAGTTTCAAAGTCTGGACTTTGGGCTTTCTCACTGAGGTATTCCCTGAAGATCCTCACCGCATACCGGGTCGCCAGGCGGGTGTTCTCACTCAGCTTGTTACGTTCTGACCGCTGAAGATCTCCCTCCATCAGCCCACAGGGGATTCTGCTGCTGAACGGGTCCGCCTCTCCCTCCTCCTCTCCTCGGTCCATACTCCGCATAACGACCGCTTGTGTCTCCGCGGTGGAACCGCTGGAGTCCAGCACTGTGCTCCCTGACTCCCACTCCAGCTCCCCACCATCTTTATCGGACTCCTCGTCCTCCTCCTCCTCCCCAGTGATCTGGACCTCCTGGATCTCATCTTCATCTTCCTCCTCATCATCCTCATCCCTGCTCTTCTCGGGGCAGCTCATCTGCTCCTGCTCCGTGTCTCCGCTGGCAGGCATTCTCGCCATATTGCGGTCTGTGAAGCAGTCCTCCGGCAGCGCGCATGCGCTATATTGGACCGCAGCGCTGAAAGCCTTTTGTGCTTAAGTGACCTTCAGCCGTGCACGCGCTTTTTTAAGGTACAGGGAGCGAGCGCAGCGGGAGGGTAAATTTGGAGGCGCGCTCCCTGCCAAAAAGGCTGCAGTATTGGACTGAATATTGGACCAGCAGCACCAACACTGTGATGTGGTAAATAACAGGACTGCAGGAGTGCAACCTCTAGTATCAAACAAACACTATTTAAAATCTGTGTGGCACACCATAGGATGAGAAGGCGACAACCCAACAAGACAACAACAGTCAGACTAAAGAGGTTGTAAGAATCAATTCAACACAGTGATTTAGCTTGTTTAATGAGTTACATACTACACACATCTGGCTAGCTTTTTTGCTGCACAAGTTACGCTGTCTGTTCAGCTGTTTGTGTGTTTTGAATAGACCTAATGTGCATGGTGTTAGCTCTTGTGTGGGTGTGTACGGCATGTATGTGAAATACGTTTGAACTTGTGGTATAATCTAAGAGCTAAAATGAACAAATACAGTCCATAGCCTACACATGAACTCACTAAAGAGCTACCCACATGCATACTTTTCATAACCGTCAAAGGAGTAAATGACATAAAAAAAAAATGCACATACTGGAATGGATTTAATACAAACAAAGAAGGAACTCTGAACTGCAGCCTTTCAGGCATTAAAATAACGCACAAGCTAATAGACAAGACATAGATTTATGCACACCAACACATAGCAATGCCATGGAAGGTCAGAGTTCCCTGTCCTTACTTTGGACCACACATGCACAGACACAAAGTTTTCAGTAATTCGATGAACTACAAATATGCTTGGTAATGTTCACCACTAAGGTCAACCATGTCAGATAAAGAGGGTTCTGTATTGTTATGTAATATGGTGGCTTTCACTTGTAGAGCAGCCCAGGGTCAAGATTTAACATATTTGTTATGCAAATTAAATGATTTTGAAATTATATTTCAAAATAAAGTTCCATTCATAAATTTCTGCAAACTAGAGGACTATTGGTTTGGGACTTTTAATAAAGCTTCCATGGTGTTGGTCTGCTGCAGTACTTAGAGGAACCAACAAATTTATGGACAGGAGGCCGTTTCATGCATTTATCTGGTCGTATTTGTAAGATTTCTAGCAATTAAAAACATTATTTTTAACAAAAGCACCCATATCGTTTAAAAATGAAATTCTGATGTCAATAGCACTTTGTTCAAAGATAAAACTTAAAGTCTTAATGTAAAATATGTTACTAGTTCTTCAACTTAATTATATACAATTGAACTAATAAATAACTTGAATCTGAGCACTTCTTGCACATGTGCTAGATTTTTTAGTGTTTACATTGAGTGAATGACACAAAATAGACCACTACTGCTACAAGTCATCCGGATGTTTTGGCGCTACAAATAGAATAAAATATTTTCCACAAAACATGACATAAACCATCATCAAAGTTCTTTCACAACACTCATTTAAAAGTCTGTGTTACAAACTTTGGAAACACTTGCTGATATAAAGTTTAATTTAATAACTGGTCTGGAGCTTCATCAGCAGATTAAGTTTACACACTCCATGTAGAATGATTAAAAACTCCAGAAAAGTTACCAAATGGACAGTGTAGTGAAACTGTTTTGCCAGCTGCCATTTCCAAGGTCAGAAGTGAACACTGCACCATTTCTTGCATCTTCATTCTTACAAGGGCTTCACTGTAATACAACTATACCACTAAATTGCTGGAATGTCCCTTTAACACTCCTACTGTATTGATGACAGTTAATAGTTTGCCCACTTTTTCATACGTTTGTGCAATATATTATGTTTAGATGGGCTCAGCCAGAGTGCTGGAAGGAAGAAACATTGATCCTTTGTGTCTAAGACATCCTTTTCTGATGTGCAGTTATCTTAGCAGTTATTTTAGCAGCTTCTTAATATAGTATCCCATCATGCTCTGTGTCTGCTCCCAGCTAAGAGCACTGGTTTCTCCCCTGGGCAAACATGACCTTGATATACAGTCAGTACCCCATGTACTGCTCTCAAAGCTGTTTGGACTACATCAACTTATTGTCTCCTATTAAACTACTGTGCTGCAACTGATATTCACAGTGGTGATGAGCATAATCTGTATTACACTGTGGCAAAAAAAACAAAAACAAAACAAAACAGACCAAAGTAAAAATTCATTCATTTCTTTACACTTTTTAATCAAATAACAGCATCTGATGACACTGCCGTAACTGAACAGCTAAATCACAATAATTCTGTTAATGTAACAGTGAGTTTGAGAAAGGGCCCCATATGCAGGACACAGGAGGCAGGTTTCAGCAACAACACAATTCGAGCTTGCCTAACAAAAACGGATGCATCAAGTCCAAACAAGAAGACAGGAAGCAGGTGAAAGCTAACAGAAATCCAGTGATTCTACTAAAAACACAGGAAACAAGCTGAGGTCGGACACAAAAACAACAAAAAGGTTTCAAAGACTACACAAGGTTCAGCCCAGAAACACTGAAGATTTGAAACAGGAGACATACACTGTAAAAAAAACAAAAACAAACATTTTTAACAGTTTTTAAGTGTATTCTTTGAAAAAATAACAGTTTTTCAATATATTTTCTGTAAAATTATGTAGTATCCAGGAAATATCACACAAAAGTATTACTTCATGTTAAATCTCAACAAACAGATATTTGTGCCAGGCATTTCTCCAAACAAAATGCCATGAGAATAAATGCAGTGCCAACTAGAAAAGCAATAAGATATACGTACGATAATATATAATATATAAAATATAATAAATAATAAATAACAAATGTTGCCTTGGGCACTTATTTCATTCTAATGACACCAGGCTTACATAAAAGAATATAGAGAGAGATAATGTAAATGGTCACCAGGACACAAAAGCTGCAGGTATAGAAACCCCAGACAAATCTGATAACATTGGCTTCGGATTTGTGACTTTGCCGCAAAAGAAGGTTCCCACATGGATTATACTTGTACTATAGATGTACAGTTTAATGACACTGTGCTTGAGTCAGGGCAGCGACCTGATTGGCTGGATATTTCCTGGTTCTGGTTTGTTTAGGGGAGGGGTGGAAGGTGGTGGGTTCTGATGCTGCAGATATAAAAAAAAAAGAAACTTTAGAGGAAGGATTACAGTTGAAAAAATATAGCGATCATCAGCTTCATAGCCTGAGTCCTAATCCTGTGACTCACTGTCTGAGGAGGGATGAATAAGTTCCACAGTGCAAAGTTAAGGAGAAAGAAGAAAAAACCTTTTGGAATATGTTTGAAGAAACCTAGTGTATTATACATTGGTGTATCACAAACCTAAAATGCACATGATTCCTAATGTTACAGAGGACCTGGTATCTTCAGGCCACAACCATGAAGCACCCGAAGACCTTGAGCTGCAGCATTTTACTGCCTTTACTACATGTCACTCCTCAACTCTTTTGTCTCTTCTTTCCTGAACTCTTTCTCCTATCAGCTGACTATTAAATGTATAAAAAGGTATTAAGTCATCATGACAAATGTATGATCTCATTCGCTAAAATATAACAAATGCTGCGGAAAACTGTACCATTATATGTAATCTTTTTTGTGTTTAACATGAGGACAGGCACATATGAGGGACAGACAGGCAGGGACAAGGTCTAGGATTGTTGTAGTAAATCTCCAGTCTGATGTGGGTGTGGTGTTCCTGGTAGGAACACCATTATTTTGGTAGTTAACGTCCGGATGGTGTTGGTGTCGTGTACTTTGTGTTTGCACGCAGAGCGGGCTCCGACCAATGGAGGTGATTACGCACCTCGCCAATCGGCAATCAAGCACTGGTTAAAGCAGGGGTGGGCAATCCTGGTCCTCAAGGGCCACAATCCTGAATGTTTTAGATGTTTCCCTCTTCCAACACACCTGATTCAAATGATAAGGATCGTTATCAGGCTTCTGCAGAGCTTGATGATGAGCTGAGAGTAGAGAAAAAAAAAAATTGGGTAGCATGTAGAATACGCCTTGAAGGTAAAATGTTTTTAAAATCTTCTGCAAAGGTCAAAGGGCATGGCCACGGCGGCCCTCTGCTTTTTAATTTTACATATTTGATCAGACTGTTGTTCAGATCACATCCATATGCCCAAATCCATTCACAGTCATAGCGCCACCTATTGGTAACAGGCTGTTTGAGGTATTATACTTCCTTGTGCCATTGCTTCAGACTTTGTGATATCATTCGTAAAATTGGTCAGGTAAGTCTTCCCATGTTGACGATGCTACAGTGCGAAGCTGTTGCATTTTCAAGCAACAGTGTTGCCATGGCGACGCATACTTACTTTGAGACGGAAATGACTTTTTGACAGCTTTAGAATGCTCATAAACTCACCAAAATTGGTATATGAGTCACTATCGGCTCAACGACGGACAATGTATGCCTGTTTGGAAAAATGCCTCTATAGCTCCCCCTGCAGCAATTTATCCATTAGTCCCCGCAGGACGTTTAACCGACGTTTACAAAAATTAGTAGGCATATGTAACACATTAGGACGCACAAAAAAGCCTCTTGGACCCATACCATAAACTCAACAGGAAGTCCACCATTTTGAAATAACTGTGCAATTTTTGGTGATTTTTTTGTCATTTTCCAGAGCAAACTCCTCCTAGGGGTTTACTCCTACACGCCTCAAATTTGGCCAGCACATACAACGCTTGCGTGGATTTCATACTGAAACCTGGCGTACGCTTCAATCTTGAAAACTGTGCAAGCACAAAAAAATCCAGATGAACGAAAGTCAGCGTACGCCAGAATCCAAGCACATCTCCTTTGTACGTCTCACTCAGCGTGGAATTGATCGCACATGTTGGAGTACCAGACTCCTCCCTCTCCACGCCCCTCTCTGCAAGATCAGATAACAACAGCAAGGATGAACTCATCCTGTTTGAGCGGAGA